ATGTTGTAGTGCCCTGTATTTTTTTCTTCTTTTTTTCTCTTTTTTCATTGACATAAGCCAATGGCCACTTCAAATTCGTTGTACACCCACGAACTGCTGAAATACAAACCTGAGTTGAAATCCTAATGAAAAGGGGTTTTTCCTTGCTGCAGCTTGGCCCTGCCAATGAGGCAGGGCAGTTCATTGTGTCATTGGACACCCATGAACTGTTGAAACACAAACTCAAGTTCGTATCTAGAAGCAGTTAGGTCAACGGGGTTGCGCCCTTTTGTACAGTTGCTGCCCCCCTTCATATCTTGACTGCAATGCAAGGCAGTTTGTGGGTCCTGACATCCCTCCACAAACTGCTGAGACACGGACCTGAGTTCGACCCCTGTCGGGGATTCACGACGGGAATTTTTTTTTGGACCACTTCTCGATTTATGCGTGTCGTCCTTGCGAGGCGGCCACCAACGACAGGCGCGGTTGTTCCTAGCCGTACGATCTAGCGATCGAACGGCCGAAAAACGGCAGCGCTCGTTACCTGGGGCAGCTCCAAAAGGAGCTACCCTGGTGATATCGTCGTTGACCTCGATCCCGCCGCCTGCTGGGTGAAAGTTTGTTGTCGTACGTACTGGGCTAGCTCCTACTACGGGAGCTAGACCAGCAGTTCTTCTATATGAAGAGTTGCCGCCAGCAGGCCGCCCGAAAAAGCCTTAGCAGGCTTTACCTACCATTTCCCCACCGTCGACCAGCCGCACTGCCATCGGTAAGGCGACCGTCTAGCGGCACGGCACGCATGCCGCTGCCCTATGTATCACACGAGGTCGCGACCACGGGCCATTTTACCGCCCGTGGTCGGGATCCCGCCCGCGGCCGAGTGGGGGCATGAAACCTCGAGAATTTTTTTGGGGCCTAAAAATAGTAAATTTATATATATATATATATATATATATATATATATATATATATATATATATATATATATATATATATATATACGGGCGTGCAGATAAAAAAACGCTCTACATGCCTATGATTTTTTTTTTTTTTTGTGACATGTACTGAAAGGGAAAGAAATAAAATACGAAATTGAAAAAAAAATAATAATAAAAAAAATAAAACCGTTGAAGAATTTTTTTCCCCACATTTTTGGTTTGTTGGGCCGATTGCAAAACACTGGCCCACCATGTTTTTGTGGTCGTTTGCGTTTGCGTTCAGAGAGAGAGAGAGAGAGAGAGAGAGAGAGAGAGAGATCAAATCAATCAATCAATCAGACCAATCAGACCAATCAAGATCCTAGGATCTTGATTGGTCTGATTGATTGATTGATTGATTGA